GATACATATACATGTTCTTATGTTATGTAGAAAGTTTGAACTGATTCCGATCAAAGTTGCATTTTTAATGAATTTTTAAAGTTGCTCCAAAATTGGGTCAAAGTCCCTTTATCTTATTATTTTTCTATCACTTATTTCCGTTATTATTATCTCATTTATTAACCTGCTATTTATCCCTGTGTTATATCTATTTTGTAAAAAAAATTGTTTATTTAAGGGCTCAGTTCCCTTCTACATTGTACTATAGTACAGGGTCATTGGCCAAATTTCGCCAAAAATGACTAGGAGAAAATTCTTCATTTTTATAATTTTTTCTGATACATATACATGTTCTTATGTTGTGTAGAAAGTTTTAACTGATATCAATCAAAATTGGATTTTTAACGAATTTTCAAAGTTGCTCTAAAATCGGATCAAAGTCCCTGTACTATAGTACAGGGATGTTGGACAAATTTCACCAAAAATGAAAAAAGAGAATTCTTCATTTCTATAATTTTTCCTGATGCATATACATCTTCTTAATGCTGTGTACAAAATTTGAGCTGATTCCAGTCAAAACTGGAGTTTTTATGAATTTTTAAAGCTGCTCCAAAATCAAATCAAAGTCCCTGCAGGGATGTTGTGCTTGTCAGCTCCAGTTTAAACTTTAGCTCACTTAGCATGCTTTGTGTGAAACCCTGGCATGAACTACACAGTACCACTACCATATGAGTATCATTCAAAAATTAGCTCATTTTTAGATGGCCATAGCTTAAAAAATTGTTCAAACTAGATAGTCAAGTCAATAGTTGGGGGTGATTTTGGAACCATTAAGAAAACACATGGTACAGGAACTTTTCAGAAATCGGTTAATTTTTATAATGTAAATAATTATTCTTAACGGCACATACAGTTGAGAATGCTGAGTCAGTTGACCGATTTTGACAGACTCGTCGTCGCTGAGAGACTCCTGACAAGAATAACAGTTAGTGCACAAGAGCTCTCCACACAACAAGCAAAGCATGACAGTCTGAGTGTTCTGTGTATCATCAGTCTCCATCGTTGATTTAGGACACCTAAAATAATATTATTATTATTGTTTTAAATTTATGTACACCATACTAGTAGACTACAATATCATGCTTTATGTATGGTTATTTAGTATTAATTGCACGGCTCTAAGTAATCAACTGGTTAGTTCATTTGTTGAAGTGGTTGTCCCGACCACCCCCGACCACCATAGGCAGAACTATGATTATTATTGTTATTATTTATTGCTATTCTTCTCACTTGAATTCAGATGCCATTTTGATAAGCTCAGCGTATCTCTTTGGCATATTGATGAGGCGTCTTGTTGGCTGGACAGCTAAAGGAGTGAGAGATGCACTGACTGATATGAGAGTGGAGGATGAGGAATTGAGACAATGGACAACATCAGCCAAACGAGGATGAGAACACAAACTATAAACAAAATAATACATAAATAAATAAACAAAATAAATAGATAAATAAATAAATATGGTAAAAGTTTATCTGGCAAATTACTTTTGACACAATTTAATGACAGCGGGTTTAGTGAAGAGAGAAGATAAAGATTGAGGAAGATTGAGGTAAGCACATAAATCAGTGAAATTGGATGCCATTGAAGCTAAAGAAAAGAAAAGAGAATAAATTATACAAAGTTTGTGAGCATACATGTATATGTACATGTAGTTTATATTCCTACCTGAAGAATGAATGAAGTCTGTTCCAGTCAAACAGTTTACAAATAAAGCAAGACGCTGAAGGAATGGATAAAGATGTTCCAACATGCCAATGTACAGGGAATAAGGAGAGGGCGGATTGTCACTGGAGAGAGAGAGAGAGAGAGAGAGAGAGAGAGAGAGAGGGAGAGAGAGAGAGAGAGAGGGTGAGAGTTTATTCTAAAAATAAATAAAAAGGTTGTCTACCTGTTTTCAGATCCAGTGTGTCGATGAACAATTGACCAAAGTCTTTGCAACTCACAACCTTCGACTAGTTCAGGGTCACTACCTGAGGCTATACAAATAAAAATTGAAGTGAATAATTAGAATTTATTAGCAAGCTAGTACACACATACATGTATGTACATGTACATTTATACAATTTCTTAGTTTACAGTTGTAAAATATTGCACCTCACGCCCAAAGTACATGTACATGTACATGTATATGCATGTATACATTTAGAATCACCAGATTGTGCAATAATTACATAAATTACCTTCAGCCACTGAGTCAGTTTCCATATCTCCTCCCCCAGGAGCACAGAGCAGGTATTGCAT